ATGTTCAGCCTCTCGTTAGTCTAGTCAAATTTGGGAGCAGAGTAGAGTGGCATCTGTACTAGGCTCCCCGCTCCGAGCTGTGCCGACAAATGTGTGAGCAAACAGCATCCGGGGCATGGGAAAATTCAAAGTTATTATTAAAAAAAAATTCTCCGTAGCCTACCAGCACCTCCACGACATGTACAAGATAATCTTAGAGATACTAGTCTCTTGCAATTTTCCCCTTGCACATTTGAAATGGGAAATAAAATCGCTTGAAAAAGCTTGAGCTTAGCCCGAGTAAGGCTCGGTGGATATCTCGGCTCGTAAGGAATCCTAACGGTTAATAATGATCTCGGACTAAGTATACAACCCTCTAAAGACAACGGAATGCGCGGCCTATGACAGGCAACAAGCGAGTTCTACAATGCCACAATTCTCTAGACTTATAAACGCGAAAGAAGTTTCTCATAATAGGCTCGCTTGGTTGGGTTAAAGGGAGGAGGCTTGTAACTTCGTCTCGATACATTTTGATATCGCTCACTCGCCCCCTCCGAAATGGCCCGAGGCCGATTGACACTGTTTAGTTTTTAGCGCAGGGGAGGGAAATTCGGCGCCAGCAACGCTGCAGGGGATAGTTCCCTTTCGATGTAGTTTCATAAACCCCCCGGTGAGCGTCTGTGTGGGTTACGTTCGGCAGGGAGAACTAGAACACATCTCTGTAGGGGATTTTCGAAGAATCTGTGTATCACGGTATTACGAGTGATATTCCGTGATATTTACTGGATCGATGTGGTATCCGTTGGGGTATCTCCTATCATTCTATTGGTGTGTGTGGGAGCGGCCGGGGGATATCCGGAGGGGTACTGTCCAGAAATTTTCTACATTCGTCTTCATACACAATTTCGTGGGGAGAGATGGTAAATATACTAGTAGCATAGGGAGCGGAACGGAATAGGAATTGGGCGGGATGGAGTAGCTGCGGGAAAGGTATGATACGGTCATAAGCTGCTTTCCCCCATCCGGCGGCCAACAAACTAAAGGTAAAGACAGGAGTGGATATAAAACACGATGAAATCGGTTTGGTTATCCCGTAGACCATCATAGAGACCGCTTCGCCCCACCCAGAAGCCCTTTCTTTGCATACCCGCATGATAACGGCGGGAGGAAGTGCTTGGGGAGGTTTCTCTGTAAATTGCTATAACGCTAGAAGGCCACTCCGAACATCCTGAAGGCTCCGGGATCAATCAAAACTCACTACCTTCCCCATCACTTCTTAACAACATTTGGGAACTGGTTTCTGGGATTGTTCTTATGACCTCGGATCCGGTCTCTCCATCCATCCATTACTTAGAACCATCATCCAGTTTCACTCTCAGGTACCCTAGAAACCTGAATAATAGAACCGCGTGCTATATAATTGAGAATTTACTACTTTGGAAACGGGCGAAAAAACATGGTAGAAAAAGGTCTGCCAACCCCTCTGGGAGGCGGAGGGGGAAAAAAAAGGTACCAGGTCTTATCAGAGAAGGAAACTCCAACAACGTAGCACACGATTCCATTATTCGAATTTTAGGTATTGTCTGGCACCATTCTCGCTGGGAGTTTTGTTCCCGCAACTTTCATAGCGTCCGAAAACGCTTCGCAAAGCCCTATTGTGAAGCATCAGTCTTCTGGTAACAAGCGATAGAAGTCTCGGTGAACCAGCGCGATATACCCCAGACGGCGGAGTGTCTTTGGCCGGTTTTCAATATTGGGCTTGGCCTGTATATCGGTAGGCATGCGTGGTAGGAGCAAGTGGGGAAATGGGTCCTTGGCCATTCCGGGGGTTCCCGGGGGTGAAAGGCCTTTCGGGTGCGGAATTTGTTTGTTTGGGAACCTCCGCTAAGCCTGCTATTGGCGAGAACCCCCATCATCTGTCACCACTAGCCCCTCCCATCCCCAATGAAGTCGTCATCGAGACACTCGATACAAACAGTGCGCCTATGCGCGTGTCCGGATAATGTGTCAGTCACTAGCGAGATAAATAGATATTGCGAGCTTGATCTTAGCTTCCATGGCCGCGACTAACGACGAATGGCTTCGTCCAAAACAGGGTTCACTGGCTCCCGGATCGCGGAACACGGAAGGGAGTCACCTCATCTGATCCGCCCTGCCCGTTTCGTGGATCCAAAAACTCGCTTGCTTGTTCAGACACGGTCGAGAACGCAGGGGGCTCCGGTAAATTGATGCGGAGCGAGCATGAAGATAGAGTAGGGGCGAGGGTGTGCGAGTGGTCGAGTATAATAGACTACTTCGACGGGGCGATGGGGGAGGAACGCGCTTTCTCCTGTCTTCGGATCCGAGATCTTGCGCCAAAGAGGGCGGGTGTGGCGTGTGGCTGAGACATTACCAGGATCAGGGAAAGGGTTTCCCCATTTTCGCTGACGCTGAGCACGTGCTTCAGCTTCACACGGTGTCACCAGGTTTTGGCCTCTTTCGCTTATTTCTTACGCGGTAGCCTCCCATCGCCGCTGCACCGTTCCGGGCATAATACGGTACCGGTGCGGGTACAATGCTCGAACCGTCCTCAGTGCCCGAACGGTGCGTCCGAGCAGAGAGCCTCACCCGCCCTATTTGGTGTACGTACCGTGGTGGGGCTGTTGGATCAGAGTGATACCGGCAGTGCTGACTTGCTGTGGTCGCACAATAGCAACGCGGTGGTGGTGGAACTGCCGAATTCGGATATTGCGATCGCTCCACCTTCCTTTCTCACCACCGGTATGGGTATCCTGAGGTTCCTCCATACTCGAGTATACTCGAGTACTCGTACTAGTACAAGCAATTGCGACGGGATCCCCTGCCCCTGCCCCACTCTGCAGTCACTCGTTTTCGCGTTTCCACTCTTCCGGACTGGGGTCGCCATCCCCTCGGCTATCCTTCCGTCCCTTAATTTTGCTACCTTCTGTCCTGAGTGTGAAAAACCACTGACCCAACCGCGATATCGTATCATACTTTTGTACTCGTACACGACTACACGAGTCCAACCCCTCACTCCGCGCAAACGTTGCTATCCGTACTCTTACATCGCGCGGGGTCTAGCTTGAGTAATTATAATAATAACAGCTGACGAGTTTCAAGATCTCTGGCATGCTAGCCCACTCCAGTACCGTATCGGCGCTTACAACGCTGACAGACCTCCTCCTTTCTCCGTTTACCTGCCCAAAAGTCACACTTGCGCCGGAATCTACGGTAATTGCAAAATTTTCGGCAGCGCATTCCCTACAAGTGAATTTGGGTCACCAGTAGCGTTGTTGGCACCTGGTGAAGTGGATTTGTAGCATGGCACAAACCTCTACAAGTATTAGATCAATGCGCTGGGCACAGCACTACATAGTACCAGGGAAAAACACGTATAAAACAAGACGGTAGAAGATGAAAAAAAAACGAGGGGGGACAGAAAGAGGGAAACTATTTGCAGGATGAATTTTGGAAAGTCCTGAGGCAAGAAGATTTTGAAAGTTATTATTATCTCCACGATGAGTAATAGTAGAAACCGTGGTTAAACCACTCTTCGCACTTGTGTTGTGCTGAATTATGCCATTGGCTCGACTAATCCCACCACGCTCTGGCACAACGCTCTGCCGTGCCGGGCACAATAGCATAGCACAAAACACTTAAGTGCCAACAACGCGAGTCACCAGATCCTTTGCCCCGGAATTTTGCATGAGGACTCCCTCTTGGGGCGGATTAAATTACGCAGGGAACTGACGGCATATCGCATTTTACAGGGGAAATTTTGACCCTGGCTCTAATTGCTGTCATATGGAATCTAGAAGCTTGTGGGGTATCTGGCTTCCAGGGCGAGCCGTGTTATGCAATCCCAGCGGGCCCTCGTCGGAGGGGTCACTCTGCTCAGCTAATCGCTATCCCATGAAGCAGCCGGTAAGACACGTGCCGGTACTGTACGGAAGGACGGCACATGAGCGTTGGCAAGCCAAGGGACCATTAGAATTAGAGATTAAGAATTAGGGCCCTGTTGGGTGAACGGCAAAAACAGCAGTACAAGTATATCCATTTATAGCATTTTTTCATCCCGGCTGGAGCCTTGGATGGGCAACTGTCGCGTCTGGTCTTACACACCGGTACGGTATTGGAACAGACACTCGGCAAACTTGGCTTCTATACCCGAGCATCATCCATTGGCCTGTGGGCACCCATCTCCTGAGTTTGTCCTTCTTTCCATCTTCCAGGCCACCCACCTCTACCACAGCAACAAATAAAAATCGGCATAAAGGCGCACGATGCCACATGTACCGTGCTTGGTGGCTTGTTGGACCGGTGGAGAAAACAAGCTTCCACTTCATTAGTGTTAAATCACAGCCTAAATGGAATTATCTTGGAATGCTGAGGATCGGGAGGCACTAGCGGGCACTACGCTAGCTACCGATTCTCATTATTATCATTGTTACCGGTTCTTCTATTCATGGCAGCTCTGCGCCCGCAAAATCATGCCGGGGAACAGGGGTTATGGATTCGGACTGGGGCACCGGTGTCGGCGGTCAGATGGGCACGGAATTTTCTCTTTTATTTCCAGCGGATCCCTACCGTCGGAATTATTGGTGGAATGCATTCTCGTGCCCTCGGGGGGAATATGAACCTCTCGGATGGCAGGTGCCCTTTGCCGGGGACGTACTCACGGGGAGGACCACCGAGGGCCGGCCTCCTCTGGCCTGCTGAAGGGAATGGTAAAAATTGGAAGGAGGAACCAAGTTCTGGTCGGACGCAGGTGTCAATTTCCGCCCCTTTTGTCTGTGTAGGGTAGACCAATTCTTGGCATGCTAGCTCGCTTAGGGAGTATGTTGTTATTCCAAGGCGGCAGCGACGCACCTTCTCGTTCGATACTACCGTGCCCTGATTACTTCTCGCTGCCGGATTAGAATATGATCACTGGGCTATAAATGATGACCCCCCAAAATTAAACCGAGATTAAAAATACAGCGAAACTCTAACTAATTTTATTTTTATGGGAATCTCTGGGACTTCTCTTGGAGATGCTTCTCTTGTCACAGAGTCTTGAGATTTTACCGCTGCAGCTCGATAGACAGCGTTTGGCGGACACACCTTTTCCACGGACGCTTGTTAGAAGTTTTTCGTTGTCCCAGAGCGTATGCGTAAGGTTTTCTCATAATTTTTGCCTGCAACTGATGCTCGTTGGCATGGAATAGTGCCGGTTCGGAGTTCATGCCTGTGAGCCACCCAAGGAGCCTGTAGGGTAGACCATATCCTTGGTAACTGGTCTAGTTGTACCTGGCTATAATATACCCGCTCGATCTGCATCTACTCAGGTAGCACCACTTGGGAAATTGGCTTGCCATGTCCTACCTGGGAAACGCGCTTTCACGGGACGCATCATCCACGGATAAGGGGATTGGGGAGGAACAACTTGTATATTATGGGTGGTCTTCTGCCGCCTTGAACCACTTTAATTCCTCTCGAGTCTTCGTCCTAGGGCTGCCCCTCCTCGACAACCCATCAATCTTGGATTTGACGGAGAACCAAGACCACAGCCACGGAAATCTGTGACATTGCTTTATTTTTGAATACCCTCCATTTCACTGGGCTCCTTGAACATTCCATCTCACAATGTTCTCGAGGGATGCTCTTTTCAGTATTTTGACTGTGTGCATTGCACGTATGTTGGTTGGTTTCCTCCGATTATGGAATATCGCTGACATTGTTGTTGTGGAGTATCGGGATTTGCTTCGGCCCAGTCTGCCTCCCCAAACAGCACCTCGACCTCAACCGCCGCGACCGCTGACCCAACCTCTGCCCTCGCCAATCTTGGTGAATTTGACTACATTGTTGTTGGAAGTGGAGCTGCAGGTCTCGTCGGTGTGTACCCCGGACTGTCAGCGCATTCCCGAAGAATTCCCCACTAACCATATGCAGCTGCCGATCGCCTCTCGGAGACCGGTAAAAAGATTCTTCTCATTGAGAGGGGGCCCCCGTCGACTTATGCTACCGGCGGCACCCTTGGGCCAGCTTGGCTCAACGGAAATCGTCTCACCCGTTTCGACGTGCCCGGTCTTTGCAATCAGATCTGGGTTGACTCTGCAGGAATCAGGTGTAACGATATTGACCAGATGGCTGGCTGTGTTCTCGGCGGCGGTACAGCTGTTAACGCTGGTGTCTTCCTCAAGCCTCCATACTTCGACTGGGATTTAAACTTCCCGACCGGTTGGAAGTCGGGTGATATGAATTCCGTGACCGATAAGGTCTTCGCCAGAATCCCGTCCACCGATAACCCGTCCTCGGACGGTGTCCGTTACCTCCAGGAACCATATAACCTTGTTACCAAGGCACTCTCCGCCGTTGGGTTCACCTCTGTCACAGCTAATGACCTTCCCGACGAGAAGAACCGCACTTTTTCCCACACCCCGTTCATGTATTCGGGTGGTGAGCGCGGCGGTCCATTGGCAACATACCTGGAGACCGCTAGGGCGCGTTCAAACTTCCATATTGTCACCAACACCACCGTGCGCAGGGTTATCCGCAAAGGGGGGCACGTCAATGGTGTTGAGGTTGTCGCCACCGCCTCGGACGGCAAGACTGGTCTCTACTATGTTACCCCAGGCACGGGGAGGGTCATCCTTGCTGCCGGTGCCTTCGGATCATCAAAGATCCTGCTCCGCAGCGGCATTGGTCCACAAGATCAGCTCGAGGTTGTTAGGGCGAGCGCGACTGACGGTTCCACAATGATCGACTCCGCTAAATGGATCAAGCTCCCTGTGGGCTACAACCTCCTCGACCACGCAAACACCGACGTTGTCATAAGCCACCCTAGCGTGAAGAACTACGACTTTTACACAGCCTACAACAACCCCATACCCGCCGACCGGGACCTCTACCTGAATAATAGAGCTGGCATCCTCGCTACCGCCGCGCCTGGTCCAAATACCATGTTTTGGGAGTCCGTGGTCCCGTCCGACGGCCTTCCCCGCCAACTCCAATGGACCGTGCGTGCCGAGGGTTCCCACAATGAGACCGGGAGCACAGTGGTCACGCTGAGCCAGTACCTAGGCACGGGCACCAAGTCCCGCGGACGCATGACCATCTTCCCAAACTTGGACATGGCCATCACGGGGAACCCGTTCTTGACCGATGCTAGCGATACCGAAGCCGTAATCCTGGGCGTCCAATCATTCCTGGATGCTGCTTCGACAGATGACAGCATCACCATCCTGCACCCTGCTCCTGGTCTCACGGCAACAGAGTACGTCAACACCTACAACGGTCCCCGGGGGACCAATCACTGGATCGGAACTAGCAAGATGGGAACCGATGATGGAACGAAGGGCAACGGAACGACCGGGTCCGTTGTTGATACTAATACGAAAGTCTATGGCACCAACAACTTGGTAACCACCCCCCGACCAATACACAATTACTTGCGTGCCGCGAAGCTAACTGCAGGCAATAGTTCGTAATCGACGCATCAATTTTCCCGGGGCATATTACGACAAACCCAACTGCGGCGATCATGATTATGGCCGAAAAGGCCGTTGAGAATATCCTGGCACTGCCTGCTGGTGCTGGTACTCGGGTATTTACCCCCCCCCCCCCCGCCGCTGTAGTTATTCGAAAGGACATGGCTCACGAAAACAGTACTAAAAATGCAGCGGCGCAAACCGGACCAGAGCGAAAACCTCTGCGAGTCTGTGGGTGTGTACTGACTGGCCTTGGCCCGGGCATCCTCCAGCACTCGTAACCTTTTCTCTCCGGGGAGGACCAGATAATTTGTATTCTAGCAATGTATAGTTTATTTTGCATGTTTGGCACTTCAGGACAGGAGATTTCCACCTGAACAACCGGATTGGGCGTTTTGGACGGGCCCCATCTCACATTTGTTAAAGTAGCACGTTCCATCGGTGCTGCCGCTTTGGAGTGTCCATTTCGAGTAATGTGTGATCGTAACTTGTAGAACACTTGTACAGTTTTATATTTTCAAGACCATTCGAGAACGGGCGTACCAAACGACGCGAAGGAAGCCAAGGAGAAATTGTAGGCCAGCCCCTTCTATTCGTGGAAATCACGGTAGAGCTCCTCCCGGCCCCTGATCCATCACGCAACGCGGAGAAGTAGGATTTAGCCCCTACCGTCATCTACCATCACTCTCTCTGCCCAAGTTGCTCAGTAAACTACTTGTGTAGTTGTCTCGCGCTAGCGCCTAACCTTGTCGAAGGCCTCGAATAGAGGCACAAACATCCAATCGGGGGAACTACACACTTAGAATTCGTCTGCTAATCCTCTAGCGCCCCACCCGATAACCGGAATGGACACCCCCTCACTCACTCGGTGGGAGTAGTGGCAATACCTCACCGCCCGGACATCGAGTCCTATATAAACCTAAAGACTAAGGAACGCCAATCCTGTAAATCTGAAATATTAATTCATTCGTTCTTTCATCTCTGGATAGGACTTTTCCGGTGGGATGGATGGGAGGGAGAGAGGGGGATGCGGTCGTCAGTTTTCGGAATGGCGGTGGGAGAATCGGTTGGCGGTTGGTCTGCGGGGTTGGGGTTGGTGCGGATGTTGTTGACGGTGTTATTGCGGATCGTGGGTACCGCTGACCTCGGGATTCTAGAGTCGTTTTTGGGGCGTTGGAATGGGTGAAGTCGTGATTGGCAAAATCCCAAATTGTGGGGTGTTTACGGCTGGGGTGTTCTATTCTTTTTTTTTTCTTTTTCCCTTTTAGATTCGGGTCTCTAGGTTTAGCTTGTTGTCAGGATTGTATGATAGTCCCTTTCCTTGGGGGCGAGGTTCGGTGGTACGGTACGGCACTTCGGGCCTCTGGTGTTGAATCATGTGGCGTCGGTATTTAGGCCAAGCACCTAGTAGTGATTACTCCGCTCTAAAGGTACGGTAGATTAAAATTCCGCTTAACACTCACCGGCGCAGTGGTTGATACGTTCGAAGGTGACTTGGGAACCCGGAGATTAGCAAGAGGATCGGACAGGTGCTCTAATTCCCCCTTTTAAGTGATATTAAACTATCGGTCCGAATGGGGATGGATAGTTAAGAAGCGTGGCGCTATGGTGACTAAGATATTAGAGATCCTATCTTTAGTCAATAGGCCTTGTACGAACTAGTCACGGTGTAATTTGAGTCGTGGAGTCGATTCGGTACTGTACAGGTAGGAGTTGATCTACCGTCGGCGGGGGAGGGGGTGAAGGTGGGAAAGGGGAAAGGAAAATAGGACGAGAATTATCGAAAGGGAGGGGAGGCATTCCCCTTCTTACCATTTCCGAAAGCCTTACAGATTCTCCAGCTCACGACTAGGGAGTTTTGTAACGCAGTAATTCACCGCCGAATAACCCCTCTTATCACCAATTGACATTTATTTGCTTGAAAAATGTCTGTATGAATATCTGTGATGAAGAGATATGATACTGCGATGCTGCGGTTGCAGAGATGATCGGTGATTCACCAGGAGTTAGGGAGGAAGCCCTGTCTGTATGATCTCGGATAGTGGAGCGCACGGTGGGTAACCTGGATTTTCTCTTTAAAGGATAGGGGGTAATAGCATGGTAGGTGGTTCTGCCGCTCTTATCGACAGGAGGAAAGATATCCAGAGTTTGCGGGGGAGGTGCCATAGTGAAGCTAAGTAATTGGCCACCCGGGCTTCCGTCTGTACGCGTGATTTTTTGTCTCGTTGGACAAAAATTTCAAAATAAAGAGCTTTATTCAGCGAAATAATGCGGAAAGAGATTCAAAAGAGATTCAAATGATGTGACCGCGCTGTGAAACTCGGGAATAAGTGAGGTGCTTCCCACCGGGGCTATTTATTGGACCACTGGGGGAGCGGTATGTAAGCTACTAGGATGTAGATAGCTAATAATAATAGCCTTCGGTAAAGATAACTAGCAACGCCCTATCCAAGACCTCGGGCGTCCACATTTTCTTTCACAGGCGCTTGTTCCTTGGAATGTTTTTGCATATTGAGGTGTTTCGCATGATATGCAAGTTTTCCTTTCTTCTCCCACTTCTACATGGCTATCATGATTTTTTCGTGTTCAGTGGCCCGCTCGTAGCAACCAGGAAGGGGAGAAATCATAATGCTAGGCTGCGGGCATAGGGTATCATTTTCTAGGCTATCTGGAGTGCCAGCATTGAAGAGCAGCATCAATAGGCCCCCAGGCCAAAGTAAGACTGGCCTGATCTTTTCGAGCCTTGCCTTTCAAACACTGCATTCTTCAAGGTTACCGGTGGCCCCAGGAGTCTCTCCCAGTATGTTTTGTGAAGTACTATGTCAAATCGTTCTGTACGATTGGTGGTTACCAACCGACACCTCAAAACACCTCACCCCCGCAAACCACCACCCCTCCACAACAATGTCTCCCCACAAAATAGGCCATCTCACAGATTACAAGAAAGAGCAAATTGTTGCTCTTAGGGAAAAAAAAACCTCTTTTTCTGAAATTGGAAAGCTCTTACAGTGTCCTAAGAGTACTATTGCTACTTTTTACAACTGTTACCAGATGAGGGGTAATGAGAAAAACCTTCCAACACCAGGCAGAACCAAAATTATCGATACCAGAACCTGCCGCTACCTAGTCAGAGAGTCCAAGAAGGCCTGCCACCAGACCTTATCTGAATTACGCAATGAGGTTGTTTTACATGCCTCTATGAGCACAGTTAGAAGAGCTTTGGTATCTGTCAACATCAAGAAGTGGAGGGCTAGGAAGAGAGCTCTTTTGAAAGATCAGCATACTATTAAGAGGTTAGCTTGGGCAATGGAGTATAGGAATTGGACAAAGAAGGATCTTGAGGGGGTTATTTTTAGTGATGAATGCTCAGTTGAAAAGTCTAAAGATCCTAAGAGTATTTGGGTCTTCAGAACACCTGAGGAAAAGTGACACAAAGACTGTATCAATGGGGTTACAAAAGGACCTGGGGCAAAGCTGATGGTCTGGGCTTGCATTTGGGGTAAAAATAAGGGTCCTCTGATTCCTATTTTTGACAAGAGTGTGGATAGATTTGTATATATTGGAGTTTTGGAGGATGGGTTAGTTGATACCTGGCAGGAGGTAGCGGACACAGTTGGAGATCCTATCTTTCAGCAGGATGGTGCAAAGATATATACTGCAAGAGATATCATGACTTGGTTTGCAGAAAATAACATACAGGTTATGGAATGGCCACCCAATTCTCTAGATTTCAATCTTATTGAGCACTGTTGGAAAAGGGTTAAGAAAAAGCTGCATTAGTGCTTTCCTAACATTCACAAGACTAAAGGAGGTCCAGATACTGTTAGAAAATGTCTAGCAGAAGCTCTGAATCAGGTTTGGACTCAGGATATTGAAGGGGATTTTTTGGAAAAGCTATGGGAGTCTATACCTAAGAGGGTAGCTGCTGTTCTGGATGCAAGGGGATGGTATACAAAGTATGAAATTTTTTTCTCTATAATTTTGTTTGGGGGTTTCTTTGCATTTATTTAATATATGTCTAAAGTTTCTACACTTTTTGACTAATTGTGGTTGAGTGGGTGGCATATTTATGGTGGTAGTAGGGTTGCCGTAGTGGTGTCGTACGGAACGATTTGGGATCGTACTTTAGCCAGTATTTTCGCTTCCGACCAGTAGCGGATATCTGCGAATTTTTCTGCATGATCTCAAGTAACTTATCCTCTGGGGTTTACGCCCCAGGCACAGAGGGAAAACAAATACATTCCGATACGGTTAAGGTATTGAAAGTAGTGTATGTACCGGGGGGTTTCATCTCTCGTAATGTATTACTAAAATGCAGTTCGTGTAAACAACTCCCACGCCGGTGGCTATTTTTTGACTAATCTGTGTCCCACCGATTCAATGTCGCTCCAGGAGTCAGACTCCAAATGCTCTTCCGTAGGGTGGCTCCTCCTTTACCACATGGTTTTTCCTGGCACTCTCCACCCTAGTGGATTGTCATTAGATGATAACATTTTCTCTTTTTGGTCTTGATAGCATGGCTGTATACAACTATTTCTGTGAGAGTATAAGTGTACTTATGATCTACACCAAGGTCTATGCCCATTGGTCTTTTAATTCCCAGGAACATATGCAATAGGGTATTTCATTTAATCCATGTGAACACTACAAAAGTCCCAGAAACTGCCTCAAATTGTCTCCATCATGCCCAATCACTCGGTATCTTCTAGAGATCTGTGATGCCAGTTCAAATTCTGAGCCGAGAAAGCCTCGCCTCACACGCCGGGTGGTCTAGCTCCTAATGTGCCCTAGGTTGGGCTACTATAGCTTTTACAGAGAGTGCAACAAGGTGCGGCTTCAACCAAGACTTTCGATTTATATAGAAGAAAGTAAAGATAGTAGGAAGGAAAAGGCTGACAAGGTAGGAAGAAAAACAACCTAGGAGTAAGACGACTTCTACTTCCTTCTTAGAAAAGAAACAAAGAAAATACAGGACTTATAATCACTTCTGATCCGCACTTCTGAACCTCTGTAGATAATCTTGGATCCACTTCCCTCTAATACTACCATGGGGAAAAGGCTTTCCTGTTTCAACTCACCAGTTTCGAATGCTGGTCGCTGCAGAAGAAAAATCTCTTCACCGGCAAAACACCTCTGGTCAGGAACCTGCTTCAGTCAGGAGACAAAACAGAACTTTTGGGACACTTCCAAGAGCATGCTATGCAGCAACTCCTGATTTCCAACAATAACCTCTGAGAGAATTGTTAGTAGCACTAATAGCTAGGCAAGGCGGAGATCTTATCATACAACCTGAGAAGTACAAGTAACAACTTATGATTTCACAGCGGCACTTACTTTGCGT